TGTGTAACTGACATATCCTGAGTTCTTTTGTGAAAGTTAGTTGCATAATCCGTTAGGTCTTTCTTAATGGCTGGTTCGTCGGCTTTTGTGCGGATGTACACTTTTCTCTTAGGTTTCCTGTTTTGTTTCAGTGCCAGGTTAACGTCCACTAGAACCATGTCGTGGTCACTTATCCCCGGGACTACTGTGGTCTTCTCAATTATGTTGGGGTTATTAACTAAGACCAGGTCCAAGAGATTACCATTTCTAGTTGGTTCCTGGACTGTTTGAAATAACCCGTGGTTATCCATTAGGTTTAGTAGTTTCTCTGCTTGGCCTGTGTAGGCCTGACTGTTGTCAGCTACAGTGGTATCCCATTTGATGCCAGGGGTGTTGAAATCGCCAAGAATGATCACATTGTCAGAGTTTATTGGCAATTTATTGGTAGATTTTCTGACAAAAGGGCATTAATTTAATATCATTATGGCAAAATGATGAGTAATTTTGCTCCAAACACTGTAGCGGCTATACTTCGGATCCAAAAAATTCACTTGCCCAATCAAGCAAGGAAAAGGGCATATGCACTTGCCCGAACAATACTTTTACTTGCCCTGGGCAAGAGGGCAACAGGACTTGTCCAACCCTGCTTCAGATTTTCCAAGTTTAAAATGTTCTTCCAAATCTTAAATGACAACTTCTTAAAATCTTAAATCACTCCAAACAGTGACCTCTGACCTGACCAATGACATGGTGACTGGTGTTGGGTTACATAATGTTGCAATTTCATGGTATGCTCTGCTCCTGTCACCATATACTAGTAGTACATGTATGTGAATGTGTTTGAGTAAGTTACATTATGCATTTGCTTTGCAAATGTTACTTCTCTAGTTAATCTACATGTATATCATTACTTCCAAATCCCCAGGTTGAGTTCAGTATGCTGGAGATCTATAATGAACAGGTCAGAGACTTGCTGAACCCTGCCTCCAAGAGAAAAGGAGGACTGAAAGTCCGCCAGCACCCCAAACTGGGCTTCTATGGTTGGTATACCTTCTCAACCAACTTCTACCTTCAACTAATACAATTTACCATAATCAGGCTAAGATAAAATTATGTATTATGCAGCGTACGGTAATCGTTGCAATTTAAAGGACAAATCCAATACTTTCAGTTTTGGGGCCTTTCCACCCAAAATCCTATTTGTAAATGGTGATTTATTGGTTTCTGCCAACGCCGCACATATTTGCGGTGATATCTGACATGCTCGATGTTCCCTGGCTAGCGCCCGATTGTCCGCTAGGCGGCGCTGCGACTGGACCTGTGACGTCACCTCCGGTTATATATATTTGCTGCATTCACTGTTACCACCATACAGTAAATAATGGCAATGGTTTCTGAACAGTTTCTAGTATGATTCATACTTCTCAAAGTCTGAGTGGTGCAGATAAGGCAAGTAGGAAAAAAATGTTGTGTTTCCTAACTGACTCTAGAAAAAAACGGCCAACACTAGCTTTTTTTTTGTGCAAGGGACATAAATTTTTTGAGCTGATCGACCTTTTCTAGCTCAGTGATCTGACACCTGAGTGATGAAACATTGTACAATTGTTTGTTTGTTTTTTTATTCAAAACAGAGGTGTCCCCATGCAAGTTTTTCCATGTATTATATAATAAGTTCACTAGAGATTGCCAAAGTCTGAAAAAAAAGAGAAAATTCCTACCTACCGACCCTAATTTTTTCAGGACCGAAACAGGAAACATATCATTTTTTTCCTAGGCCTAATATTTGTCTGGTGCAGGTAATTTCAATGTTACTGCTCTGGTGCAGGTATGCAAAAAGAAATGTTTCGAGTCCTGATCAGTTGTGCTCCACCTTTTTTTCAGCCGACGGCCTGAAGACGGTAGCAGTGAACAGCTACCAGGACATTGAGAACAGGATGGAGGAGGGAACCAAGAACCGTACTGTCGCTGCAACTAACATGAACGCCACGTCTAGCCGTGCACACACCATCGTTGGGATCAAGTTCACGCAGAAGTACCAGAACGCAGCAGGACAGGAGACAGCCAAGAGCTCAGTCATCAACCTGGTGGACTTGGCTGGAAGGTATGAGGAGCATGTTTGTTGCTCAACATTGCATTAAATTTGTTTAAAGTTAAAACTTTTTGATCCAACACAAAAATTCTCTCACCAGTAGATCTTTTGACCAGTCACTCTGGTCTTCCTCAGTAGCCTGACCCAGTGAAGCTTGTCACGTGGCTTCTTTGAAGTGTGACGTCAACACTGGGTCAAAGGTATCTGGTACATTGTAGACGATGTCGACCCCCATCTTGGTTCAATGTAGGGTGATGGGCCCTACATCAAAGAAGCCACGTGACAAGCTTCACTGGGTCAGTCTAATGAGGAAGACTAGAGTGACTGGTCGAAAGCTCTAGGTGAGAGAATTTTTGTGTTGGATCAAAAAGTTTTAACTTTAAACATGTAACTACCAAGTTACACAGATGAACTTTCATGATAGTATTGCATTAAATTTCTATGTTCTATTTAATTACTATGCAATGTTACATTCTGAATTTCGTGCAGGCAAAGTATTTTCTGCCAATATTCTGGTATGGGGATAAAGATAAAAGAATGAAGGAAGAGAGGAGAGATGGAATGAATGAAATAGAAGGAGTAGTGTGTGGAAGATAAGCAAAGAATTGGAAAGAGAGAGTGGAAGTGTGAAAAGAGCCCCTGAGAGAAATTAGTGAAAAGGAGTTATTCAATCACTTTGAATTTTGGACCTGTGGTATAGTGTCAGATGGAAATAACCAAAATGAGAGCAATATGACCTAGAAAAATTTTGTTTACACAAAAATATTTGCTGTAGTTTGGGGAATAAAAATTGGGAAAGACAATTTTAGTGTAACTTTCACCTAATAACTGATTGTGACACATACATGTAACATGAGATTTGCTGTTCCATAGTGAGAGAGCTGAGAGCACAGGTGCAACTGGAGACAGGCTGAAGGAAGGAGCAGCCATTAACCAATCACTGTCCTCCCTCGGTAATGTCATTGCAGGTAAGAAAAATGCAACTTGTCATCTGTGACATAGACAGGATCATATCAATTTTAGTATTTGAAAGCCATTAAATGTTCGATGAAGTTTATAAAAGATTTTTCTATGATATTCAGTTCCATACTGAATTGTTCTGATCTAGTTATAGTTTTCTGTTATATAATGATTGACGAGACAGTGTGCATTGCCCTCCAGCCCTGGTGGATAAGGCCAATGGGAAGCAGGTTCGGGTGCCGTACCGTGACTCCACTCTGACTAAACTGCTGAAGAATGCTCTGGGAGGGAACAGCAAGACCATCATGGTAAGGCCATATAGCTCCTGACAAACGCCCATAACTTTTTTGAAAAACATTTCTTTGAAAAACTCCAGAAGGTGATAAGCCTGTCCTGGTAAAATAAATTAACAATAAAGTTGTTTAATATGTTTTGATGAATTTAAAAAAAAAGAACTACTTAGAAATTTAAGGTTAAAGGTACAAAAATCAAGAAATAAAGTTAACCCTTTCAAAATCATCACTTCATCATATACAATATAGGCTACAAAGAGTTGTTTTTGCATGTACTGGTACAGGAGTGTAAATATTTACTTACTGTTTATCCAGGGCTAGAGTTGATTGTTGGCATTTATGTGTCTTTCTGTATAGATAGCAGCTATCAGCCCTGCAGATATCAACTATGATGAGACCTTGTCTACCCTCAGATATGGTATGTAAAAAATCTTCATTACCTTTCAAGGTTATGCACATTATCTGATATAGTTAGCAGTCAAATTATAAACATTTTTAATTACAACTGAATATCAAGAAACTCCTTTAAGCTGATATGAAGCATTATTTGGGTTCTAATTACTAAGGTTTGAATATTTTTGTATTCTGACTGAATACTGAAATTTAAAAAAAGATAATAAAATCGTGTTATGCAGATAAATTCTGGATGAATGTGACTGATACATGTAGGCCATTGAAATGTTAACACAGCAAAATAAATTAATAGTTGTGAGACCTTCTTTGTAATGCAATTTCAGGGCTGCTGACACAATCTGTGATATTGACTTGCTTCACAAGAGCACATTTGAGTCAGTATTTCATACTTTGGGGCATTTAAAACTGCAGAAACAAGCCCCAAGATGAGTCCTTTATTTTCTGGGTGGTACCCTAAAAATCAGCCAGTAACCATTTTCCGTCAGAATATTGGGAATTTTTGCTCCACGAGGGTCAATATACATTGGGATAGTGTGGTTTCAATTCAATATGTAGATATTAGATGTCTAGAATATTAGCTTTGAAAAATCAGGTTTCCAAGCCTTACAAACTGCACTGGATGCCTTTAAATACCCTTTTCCCTCTGTCACAGCTGATCGAGCAAAGCAGATCAAGACGAAGGTTGCAGTGAACGAGGATCCGACAGAGAAGCTGATTCGTGAGCTTCAGGAGGAGAACGAGAAGCTGAAGAAACTTCTGGAGTCTGGAGGAATCCCGGAGAAGCTGGATGATGATGATGATGATGAAGAGGACGTAAAGTCACTGTCTAAGGATGGTTGGTTTAAAACTCTTCATGGACTTTTTTGTTTTCTCCTTCAAGCCCAGTACCTTCAAAAATTAAAACTCTTGACCCAACAGGAGATAATTCTTACCTAGAGCTTTCAACCAGTCACTGCAATTATGATCTTCAAAAGACTGACGCAGTGAGACTTGTCATGTGGCAGAAATGAAGTGTGACGTCAACAGTTATCTGGTAAACAATGTTGGTCCCGGTCATAGTCAAGTGATGGGCCTTGATGCAAATAGCCTCTTTCACCCATCTCAGGAAATAGTCTTGTTAAGTGTCTAATATTCAATATTCAATGTACATTAGGCCACACCAATTTAATTTGTTGTTTCTTGGATTTTTTTAGAAAATATGAAGCCAAAATATGAACCCAAAATATGAAGACAGATGAAAAAAAAAACAGGCCAAGGCACCTCATGATAGCCGGAAATGTTCCGATATGAGCCATGAAGTCAACATACCAGGCTGGTTTACAATTAACACAATAGATTTTGAACTTTGTTCCACTGTTGGGGCCAAAATATGTCATTTATTGAGCATTTTGCAGTTGATTCAGAACCTAAAATCTCTTTTTTTTTTGCAAAAAAAGAAAAAAATGGACAGGGCAAATCCGAGAAGCAACAAATTAAATTGGTGTGGCCTTATATGTAGATGTAAAACTTCTGAACTGACTGAACTTGGCCGTGAGTGCTCCAGGAACCTTGCCTTCATTTGTACTCGTCCATGTTGTTTCCAGAGCGTGAGAGAATCCGTAAGGAGTTGGAAGAGGAGATGCAGGCTCGTATCCTGGCCTCGGAGCAGGAGATGGAGGAGATGAAGAAGACTTGGGAGGAGAAGATGCAGCAGAGCCACACCGGTCCCACTGTGCCTGACGCCGGCGCTGCCAGGAAAGAGAAGGAGTCCACTCCGCACCTGTACAACCTGAACATCGACCCGCAGCTGACAGGCATGATCGTGCACCTGCTGAAGCCTGGACAACACCTGGTGGGCAGCAGTAATGAGGAGTCTGGGGAAACTCCCAGCATACTGCTGAAGGGACTCAAGTAAGGCTTCTAGATAACACTGTATTTGACCATGATGTGTTTTTCTTCTTTGTTTTCTTTCATAGTCCAGATAAATGTTAAAATGTTGACCCATGGACTGGGTTAAGGAGGTTGCACATTTTTACTCATCTATACATGTATGTATTTTGGATCAGTTGGCCTCTCAGAAATTAGGCAGTATTTTCGTCAAATTGAATGAAGCATCCAATCTATATTCATTGATTGAATTTATGTACAACTTTTGGTGTTTGTTGTACTCCTTTTTTCGAACACCTTATACACAAAGTGTAGCATCTGTATCTGTGTACATGTAGCCGGTATAATCCCCTTACACAGTGTAACACACCAGCTCTGCAGGCACCCTGCACAGTGGAAGCTACAGCTATAATATTACACCAAACAACCTGCTATATTCACCCAACCTTTGCACATATAACTGCAGGTGTTGTTTAGAGATAATGCCCCAATGGTCCTTGGTGGCAGAGAGTTTCACTCTATACAGTCATTATATTGTTCTAGGAAAATACGAAATTTATGGAAAATTTTTTTGTAATGATGCATTATTCCTGACCACAGTATCCAGCCTCAGCATGCTGCCTTCATAGTGGAGGGAGACAAAGTGTTTCTGGACCGCTGTCAGTCCAGCCCAGATGCAAAGATTATTGTCAATGGACAACCTCTTACTGAGAAGGATGAACTGGAGCACAATGACAGGTGAGAAGGGAAAAAAATTATAGTGGAGAATGAAAATCATTGACTGTTGTATACTAATGTATGACTATTTTTAAGAAGAAAAATTCTGATTGGGATGATGAACCGAAAAACAGAGTTTAAGGGAAAGTTTGCAAAGTGGTGAATGTATTAGTTTGTTACAAAATGTATGGCTTCACCACGGTATGTGTGGTGAAATTATATTGATGAAAAACAATATTTTTCTTTGTGTTTCTCATTCTACCCCACTTCATTGAAAGGATTAACTTTGGGGACCAAATGACCTGATGACATTTGCAATCTCCAAGCAGATACAGGGTGGCATGGGTATCTTCGGGCAGATACACAGTGGCTTAGCCTTCAAGAAGATATAGTGTGGCATGGATCCCATCAATCTACATGTTAAACAGCAAAATGCATTGGAAGATTCCATTGCTGCATGGGGTATAGACTGTTGGATCACTTCACATTTTGAACAGAGATGACTTAGGAACAATCCGCCAAAAAACAGTTACTCAAGCAACTGGATATGATTTTGAAAACGTCAGACGTTTCAGCTAGTATCCACTAGCTTTCGTCAGTGACTGAGAGACCAGAGGGGAAACCCTCGTCAGTCACTGACGAAAGCTAGTGGATACTAGCTGAAACGTCTGACGTTTTCAAAATCATATCCAGTTGCTTGAGTAACTGTTTTTTGGCGTATCGTATTACCTGGATGTCTAACCTTCATCGACGTATTTAGGAACAATCCATTTGTGTGGGAGGGGGATAGGTCCATTTTTGGTATGGCCGGGATGTGGTGAAGCCATGCTGCATTTGCTCCTGAGCAAATGTCGGCCTTTCTAGTTATATGTATATTAGCTAGTTAACACAAGTGCTAAAATTGCACCTGTTGATCAATATGCTTGTTATCCTTACAGGATCATGTTTGGAGCCAACCATCTGTACATCTTTGCTCATCCCAAACAAGCAGGCAGCCAGAAGCAGCCGGCCATGACGTATGAAGAGGCTCAGGCTGAGATCAATCAGAACTCTGGGTTTGTCCTGGGCAAAGGTTCACTGGGTAAGCTGGACATGGAACAATGACATACACTTCTTGTCTACAGCACCAGGAATACAATTAGTGCATAGATTCAGAGCTAGATTGGGGATCAAAATCATGAGCTACCAAATGCAAGGCAAACAGTCTACTTGGCCACTGCAATATATAATATTATATACAATGTCATGTACATTGTATATAATTTGGTTCATCAATTTTGAAACACTGTTTCTTCTAGTTTCTATCATGTCAAATGTTAGTGAGCATCACAAATGGTTTTGCACTATGATTTCAAATAACGACTTGCTGGTGATTAATGAATAACACATTGTTTTTCAGATGACCTCATCCTTAACGATGACCTTGTTGAGGTGATGCCAGCGATAGAACAGGCCAACGACATGAGCGAGGAAATGGACAAGAAGGTCAAGTTTGAGGTTGTCATCGTGCCAGCGAAGGTTCTAGGGATAGTCGGAAGTAAGACTGAGGTAGGTGGTAAGAATGTGTTGTTTATAATTACCTTGAGTTTGCTTGTTGATACTTCTAGTAGTAATCTTATTATCTGCACATTACATTTACAAATGAATATAGTTAAACATTAGATAATAGTGAAGAGGAATTGATCTTACAAATTTGTACTCTCGTGGAAAGACTTTTTACATTTTTTTTCAGTCCTTTGCCTCTCCTTGGTACTAAAGTACCATCTGTTGAATATGCATTAATTATAATGAATACCCAGGAGCACACAGCTATTAGCAAAAAGTAGCATTGGGCTTGCACACCTATATGTACTTAAATTAAATATGTATATGCCAATAGGTAATAAAATTTATTTTCACAAAAAATCTATGACTATTTGATGCAGATTCAGTGGGCAAAGCTATGATAGCCATTGGTTATACATGTATATTTGTGATCTATAATTTATTGTAATACATTATGTCTTTTCTATTATAGCCATCCAAAAGGAAGCCCCCTGAGGTACAATCTACTGCCAGGGTGATGATTACACACAATTTATCTTTACCAGCACTGCATGTGTCATGTCAATAGTCTATAAATACACCACTAACGTGCTGTTTATGATACACAGGGCTGGTGCATTATTCACTACTTCGTGTACGTTGCACGGTCACCTAAACAGGAATAAATTTGAGAAGACTGCATTTCTCTCTTAGAATTTTCTCTCCAAATAAACACTAAAAAGATTATAATCCTGACCTGCACATACCCTAACTACTAAGGAGATGACCACAAACCAACAACAACTGTTACAAAAAATGCATGCGTAATCAGCCAAACTGGAAATTTGCTTCTAGATTAACTATTTTTAACAGTTTTAGAGAAATCACACCTGTCCATTAATGTCATTTTACAGGTGATGGTGAAAATGAGGAATGTTGACTTGGGGCTTGAGTATCTGTGGACCAAGGCCAAGTTCATGAACAGAAAGTACCTGATGGATGAGATGTACGAAAGCTTTTCTGATGGAGAAGACATCAACTGGCCTGATGTAAGTAACAGTTGATTCTGAGTTTTGTCATTAGGCTAAACCAATTTAATTTGTTGTTTCTCTGATTTTTTCAGAAAAAATCAGGAGCGACAGGGCGACATTTAAAAAAAAAAGCAGGCCAAGGCACCCCGTGATATCCGAAAATGTTACAATATGAGCCATAAAACATACCAGACTGGTCTATAATTAAAACAATAGATTTTGAACTTTTAATGAAACAAAATTGCATTGTTACATTGAAGAACTCGAAAGAAAAGGACTTTTTGCAACTGTTGGAGCCAAAATATGTCTTTCATTGAGCATTTTGCAGTTAATTTAGAACAAAATGTTTTTTTTTTTTTTGCAAATCAGAAAAAAAAATGGACAGGACGATCCGAAACACAACAGATTAAATTGGTGTGGCCTTATGAAGTAACAAAATTTATGTTGAGGTCTGCCTGCATGGCGGCATTGCATGCATAAGGTAAAGTCAATTATCATTTTTCTCTGTAATTACCTCAATGAAAAATGGAAATATTGTTTATGGTATGTGTGTGTGTGTGTGTGTTTTCGTGTTTGTGTCTGTCTTTGCATGGCCAATAGGTTAGTTTGTAATAGATATGGTTGGGTTCAGTCTGTCCCAGAGGATTAGCGCTCCCTGTCCTCATTGACAGCTACCAGCTCATGTTGCACAATCAATAAAGAAAGACTTGTAGACACCATCATTATGGTGAAATTAGGACACAGTAACCATCATATAAAATCTGAATATAGGTGTGATGTCTCCAAATTCTTGTTTATCCATTATTAATGTCATCCCACATGTACAGGAGAGAGACCCCTTCACGGAACCTCCTGACCATGAAGAAATGATTGGAGGGCTGCACCTGTACCTACAGAGCATTGGTTACAAGGTAAAATATTATCATAACCTTGCAGACTTACTCAAGATGGCAAAAGTTTTGGTAATGCCTTGGGTTGGAGATCTTAGATTAAGTGACCACCTCTCCGTTAACAGGATGACTTAGACCACCTTGAAGCACAGTATAATAAAAGAGGCAAAATCATACTAGAAAGGCCGACATTTGCTTGGGAGCAAATACAGCATATTTCAGTCCATCTCCCTCCCACGCAAAAGTGGACTATTCCAAACTTACCCAAGTGCAAAACTGCCAAAGGTTCTCAAATGAATGAATTAAATAGTAGCTATATGAGAACAAAGATGCAACAACAAGTACTTTGAATCTCGAAAGCTTTACTAATCTTATTACAGGTATGCAAAAACTAACAATGATGAGATTTGATACATTTTGAAGGTCTTAGGCACATAAAATTGAATTTGTGGGTCATTACGCACCACTTAGGTGCAATGTGACCTCAGGTAACCCGCAATGGAACACGTGTTCCATGGATGGAACCGGCCATTCTTTAGATAGAACATGGAATGGGTACAGCACTTTTGGCCCTTTTTTGGCTGAAAATAGCCATTAAAGTCCCCCAAATGAGTCATTTGGAAGTGGTGTATGCCAAATATGTGACTGCTATTCTGTAGACACACGTTCAAGGTACACTTATACCGAATTTCAGATCATTTGGTTGTAATACCAGGGCTCAGGATCAAAAAATCCATTTTTGTCGAAAAATGCCCCAAAAAACCTTCATAAAAATTTTCAAAGGCATGTTTCAAAAAAATGAAAAAAAACGTCTGGGGGTATTAAAATGCCCACTCTACCTCCATGCCAAATTTCAGGTCATTTGGCTGAATGATGGCTGAGTTGAATCCCTTTGACTGTTTGGCAGGAGGAGGAGGAGAAGGAGGAGAAACATGAGGGAACACAATATATTTCATCCATACCATGGTATGGACTGAAATATAAATACCTTTTTTAAAGTGTCTGTAATATTTTTGTATAACCTACCCCATTCCCCTATAGATTGAGGCCAAAGAGCAGTTAGATCTGACCGACATCAAAGGCATTGAAGTGGGCAAACTCAACGTGAGTGGTATCATTGTTGAATTTACTTCCTGGATAATACAACTCTGACCAGGCTTGAAGTAGAATGTACTATAAATTTTACAATTACAACATCTTCTATTGTATTCAAAGAACCAAAAACAAATATAGTATAAGTAAATAGAGAACGTATCCTTTCCCAGGTGGAACTATGGCCATGTACACAGACAGGAAAGGTGTTAAGGGATGAGGATGCTTTTGTTGACGACCCGGAGACAGACCTGAAAGGACAACCGCTGGCCTTCAAGGTCAAGATCCTGAATGCTCGGGGACTTCCTGATCGCTTTACGGTTAGTCAATTTTCTTCTTTATAAATTTATTCAGCATCAGGTATGTTGTTCTCATTTTTTATCAATACATGTAGTATGCAGGTACATTGTATGCAGAAGTAAGTCTTTCTATAATTTTATACTTTTACTAACTAAATTAAGGTGTTTGATATTTTATTCCATTCAAAGTATTGGACATTGGTGATAAGTTGCAGTTCAATGATCTTCATATTGTTGGTTGTTGTTTTTGGAAAAATAATGACTGAACTGAAGAAAGAAAAAGAATTGTCTTTTTCATATTTTAGGACATCTACTGTAAGTTCCGAGTCTACACCATGGAGCCCTTCCAGACACAGACGATCAAGAAAGCCATCAACCCAGACTTCAAGTTTGAACAACTCGTCTCTTTCAATGCTATTGACTCACAGGTGAAACATCCAGCTGTTTTACTTACTTATTGACATTAAGGAGAGCCACACATCTTGAGCACGTTAAAGATCCCACCTCACTTATCAAAAAGAGCAGGGGTCCTTCCCAGTATGAGTGGTTCAAACCTTTAGATCTCATCTCAGGGTTGAACCCCAGTTTTTTGGGGTCACAATTTGATTCTGAACAACCTCAACTCCAGCGATTGTCTCTTTCAGGAAACAAGAGTTCCGAGATCTCATACCTCCATGAAATATGGGCTTGCATTGTCATACTTCATTTCAGCATGTTCTCATTAATTATGCAAATAACCTGTACATTAACATAATATATGCATATTGGTGCTAACCTTTTAGTAACTTATACATGTCACAAGCAGGGGTCTCCCCAGGAATTTTTAGGGGAGTGGTGGTGGCATTTTTTGGAGGGCACGCAGTGGCCATGGGAGGGCACGCAGTAGGAGAAGCTGTTGCATTTTACCCTTCTGAAATGCAGTTTGTAGCCTTCTCCTGCAACTTGAGTTAAAAATCTGACTAACTAAAGAGATAGAAAATCAAGCCCAATTAAGTACAAATATAGGGGATTAATGAGTATTTGTACAACAAAATATACACATCCATTTCAACGTAATAAGTGGTTGGTATGGTACATTGTCTAGTCTGGTCAAAGTCTGGATTCTGAAGAAAAAAAACTTCTGAAGAAAACCAACTTCTGAAGAAAACAACTTCTGAAGAAAAAAAACTTCCGAAGGAAAAACTTCTGAAGAAAAAAACAACTTCTGAAGAAAAACAACTTCTGAAAGAAAAAAAACTGAAGAAAAACAACTGAAGAAAAACAACTTCTGAAGAAAAAAATTCTGAAGAAAAAAATTCTGAGTTTTGATTGGTTTCCATCCCATTGTTTTCCTAAAAATCAATAATGTGATTGTATCAATTTTAAACGCCCTAAAATTAGCTAAATCGGCACTTTAGGGTGATTGCGTAATATTCGTGCCCTATGACCTTTGACTTTTTACGGGTCATGCAGCTCTCTCGCCAGTGCCCTCCCACCCCTCAGCTGTCCGTTTTATGGGGAAATTTCTACTTTTTCTGAGGTTTCGGGGCCTAAAAACTAACACCAGAGGGAAAATAAACCACATTTGTTATTTTCATGGTAAATATCGCTAAAATGGACCACGCATTTTTCTTCCGCATTGCCGATTGTGACAAGGTATAAAATTCCCATCATTAACTAATAAGGAGTCACAAAATGTTCACATAAATTATGCAAATTAGGACATCATTTGCATAATTGATATCTGTTGATGTTCCACCTGCCACAGATTAAATAAATTACATGTATAGCAGTACCATTATATGAAACACTGTAATAATAGAATTTCCTCATTAATTATGCAAATTAAGTCCTCATTTGCATAATTTGCATTTAATCATGCACACCTGTCTCTCAGGTACCTACACGCCAAAAATGATGAAAATACGTTGTTCCAATCTGGACTTATTGGCTTTGAAAGTTTTTACCAGGAACTAACCTGCAGTTCCAGAACAAGCTGCTAGGGGGATTAAACTTACGCCACTTATTCCTGACAGGATAAGCTATCTGTCACCAAAAAGTCAAGACCATAGCTTGTTCAGGACAAAAGATCCAAAAACCGGTTCTGCTGCAGTACCAAGGTCATCCACCAGGAGGCCCATACTTGACCTTGACCTTTGTCTTTGCAAGACTTACCATCATACCAAATATCATCACAATCCATAAAGGCATTCTGAAGTTATGCTGACTACAACGTTGCGGAAACACACACAGACACACACACAGACAGACACACACACAGACAGACACACACACAGACATACATACAGACAGACAGGCCAAAAACAATACCTGCCTGGTTGTGCCTGGTTTTCCCGTGCAATGACTTTTGCAGCAGATTATGATAAATGTGAACTCAAACATGAACCATCGGAAACTCCTTCGTCACTTTTTTACCACACACTACCACGGACCCCTGTCGCAGAAGAATTGGTGTGTGCACCGTTAGATGAATCCTTTAGCAAAATGATTATATAATGATTACATAAATCTTTATAAACAAGAGTTCCGAGATCTCATACCTCCATGAAATATGGGCTTGATATGTAAATGTAAATTTCTTCTTTAATTACGCAAATGACCTCTGCATTAACATAATATATGCATCGTGATGTTAACTTTTGATTAACTTAAAGATGTCCCAAGTATGACATTCCCATCATTCACCATTGAGAAATCATAGATTTTTTGCATTAATTATGCAAATTAGGTCATCATTTGCATAATTAGTATCTGTTGATGTTCCATCTGCCATAGGTTACATACATTACATGTATGAAAGTTCTATAATGTAAAACACTGTAATTATAGAATTTCCTCATTAATTATGCAAATAAAGTCCTCATTTGCATAATTTGCAGTTAATTATGTACATCTCTCTGTCAGATACCTACACACCAAAAATGATGAAAATACGCTGTTCCTATCTGGACTTATTGGCTTTCAAATATTTCGCCCGAAAGTCCCCTGCAGTTCCAGAACAAGCTGCTAGGGGGACCAAACCCACAACACTTATTCCTGACAGGAAAAGCTATCTGTCACCAAAAATTCAAGACCATAGCATGTTCAGGACCAAAGATACAAAAACCGGAAGTTCTGCTGCAGTACCAAGGTCATCCACCAGGAGGCCCATATTTGACCTTGACCTTTATCTTCCTAAGACTTATCAGCATACCAAATATCATCACAATCTATAAAGGCGTTATGAAGTTATGCTGACTACAAATGTGCGGAAACACACACAGACACACACACAGACACACACACACACACAGACACGCAGACAGACGCCGCCAAAAACAATACCTCCATTTTTCATGGAGGTAATAAGTAAATCTCTGTTGAACAATATTCACTTAAATGTCTGCATGAGCCATTCCCATACTCTACAGTCAACTGTGCCCGGTATCACATCAACACACTTACAGAACCAGATATGCTACTCAGAACACCTTCAAACTAGACAAACCAAAAACAAACAGCACTAAAAAGCCTTCACATACAGAACTACTGCAGCATGGAACTCTCCACCACATGGGCTGAAAACAGTGTCATCACATGAGAAGTTCAAACAAGGCCTACTAAAACACATGAGGGACATGAATAAGCAGCACATACGATGTTACACATTTGTTCTCTTTTAAATAACGATGTAATGTAAATGTATATGTAATTGTATGAGATGTATTGTTATGCCTTATGTATACCCTCTCCTGGAAGAATAGCTGCCACCCTTGGGTGGGCAGCTAAAGGAGAGCTTTTCCTCAATAAACCTCAAACCCAATTGTGCTTGTGTTTCAGGAGCTGGACTACCTGTTGAATGGCTCTGCCTATGTCCAGCTGTTTGGGAAACAGGTGCCAAAGAAGCGTGAAGGGAAGAAACTCACCACCAAACAGATTGTCAAGAAATCTGGCATGCTGAAGGGAAAGGACATTGGAGCTGAGAATATGCCCAAAGCTGTATGTTATTATGATGTCACTATTATAATTTTTTTGATAAGAAATTATTTTTTTACAACTGCAATATCTAAAACTAGAAATTTCAACAGCACGTTATTATTTACAAATTGAAGTATTAAATCTGCCATTCTTTGACGATTGCCCAAATTTTTTTTCTTTGAGTGGGTTAAATCTCAGAATGCTAGCTGTAAGTCTTCTTGAATTGGATTTTTGTCTAGGTTTTTTAATAATCTGTCACCACAATGTGCTATTCTCACAACATGTTACACACACCATTCAGTCAAATATTCATTTAGAAAGGCCTACATGAAAAATAAATGTGCTTAATGGAGAATAAATTGAGCCTTAAAAAGTTAGAAGTCTTGAAAAATTAGACAAATAACTAGAAAGGCCAATATTTGCTTTGGAGCAAATACAGCGATGGGTTCACCACATTTTACCACATGGCAGGGAAAGAATGAGAAACACAAGGGAAAACAATGATTTACATTGATATAACTATAATATGAAGTAAAATACAACTAAAACAACAGTTGGATAGCTATTCCCTACTTTATTGGTTAGGATTTTTAATTGCATAATGCAAACTGTTGATTTTCAAAATAAAAAAAAAAACGTCCATGCCCGGCATTCCAATGCTGGAGCAGGAAAGCTTGAAATACCTACCAAAACACTTGAATACAGACATACTGTCAGTATGGAAATGCTTCTGTGCAGGTGTTAATCAAGTTAAATCCCAACAGCCAATCAGCAAGAAGTATAGAGGAAAGCTGCATGCCTATTGGTTGATGCCCTGCATTCCATTCTGATGACTCATGCCCAAACGTGGTAAACAAGGCAAACTAACACAGTAATACATTTGCTATAACACAGCCAAAAAACTCAAATAAAACCATTCTAAAAGCCTGTATCACAATAATTTAAAAAACGCCTAGGGGTATTTGCCCACTGTACCTCCATACCAAATTTCAGGACCTTAGGCCCTAAAATGAAGAAGCTGAATCCATTTAAAAAATGGCAGGAGAAGGAGGAGAAGGAGGAGAAGAAGAAGAAGAAACATCAGAAAAAGCAATATGGTTTCACCACACCACTTCGTGGTGTGGTGAACCCATAATTATGAGTATTATATTTTATTTTTAGACTGTGGATGAAGGCAAGGTTGGCTACCAGTTCCAGATTTTGACTCTCAAGAAAAGACTGGAAAGGCTGGAGAAGAAAATGGTGAGATAGTATACTCTTAATACTATATAATAATACGCTAACACTTATCCTACATTAACATTTATCCACTAGATTACATAATTTTATCCAGCACTTTGAAAAACTGTCTATTTCGGAGATCACTGATGCACCTTCCTTCAGGTGTGAACAGTTAATATACTGGAGTGTAATATCCTTGGGTGCATTTGAGATCTCTTTAGATGCATTTTTCAGGGTGTTGGATATATGTGACCTGGTAGACTTATGTTAGTAGATGTTAAATGAGGATTGAAAAATATATTGAACATCTATAGTATTACCAGGGATTCTTGATTTACCAGAACGTTCTGTTATATAGCATAATATACAATCTAGTTCCCTCCTAGCTGTAGCTATTGTGTTACATTTATCTTCAGACAAATCTCAAGAAAGCAAGTACCTGAACAATTGTCAGAGAGCACTTTCAAAACGTTTACAAAATATAATATTATAATGTTGTTTTCTGTTATCAATTTTTCCTTTAGGCCCAAATGAACAAGGTGGTGGAAGTGGCAGAGAAGAGTAGTAAGATGCGGGTGAAGACAGAGACCATTAAGACAGTTCTCCATGCCAAGAACCCAGATGCTGTTGAGAAGGCCATCAAGACAATTCCCAAGGACAAAGGAGCCGGAGACAACGGTAAGAATTAGGTCCGTAAGTAGCTTCATCAGTTTAGGGGGATCATACATGTATATTATGAGGGTTCTTATATCACAACCCCGTAAGACTCAAATTACTTTTTTTTTTTTGCATGGTACTAGATTTTAAGTTACATTCTTATAATATAGAAGAACTTTATTGACACAACAAAAGTACAGTGACTTTTGGAAAACTAGACATTGAGACAGTCACATGGGTACAACATGTTTATCTTGCTTGCTTGCAGAAGGAGTAAATGGCCAGCCACCAAGCCAAGAAAGTAAAGCCTGTGTCCTCCTATAAATAAGATGGACTTCACCAGTTAGCATTACCAACTTTTCATCCCAGGTCCTGGAATGCCAAACATGTGCACCATGGGTAGATTGTATAAACATGAACTAAAGAATGTTACACAAACTTTCATTTGTCAATATCAACACTGCAAAGGTTGTATGGGAAGTCTTAATTTCAATGTGCTAGTGATTTCTTTCTAGATAAGTTTGAGTGTGACCTCTCACATGTTTACTACATGTATATCTACCTGCACAAAACAAAATTGTATACATATTGCTTAGAAGGCCCAGGGCCGATATGGATGTCTTTCATTATTAAAGTTCCCTGCATTGCCTGGTATTTATTCAATAGAATATGCTTTTAGATGAAGCACATTATAAAATATGGCAACAGCTTATTTTACATACATGTAACGTTAGTTGTCAACTTCGTGCCATAGTGGTTAAGATTGTAGATAACACACAAACACTGAAAAAGTGAACTCATAGGGATGCAGTTGTTGGAAGCTATATCATAATGTAAATATTGGCATATGTTTATGATGTTAAGAAATAAGTCTGAAGGACACTAAGGAGCTGGATTTGTTACACACATGCACAAATTTTAGGCAAAGTATTTTTGTATGGGGAAATAGTTTACTCAAGAGTGAATTTTGTGAGATTTTTTTGTGTTATTTTGTTTTTATTTTTGTAAAGTAAGTTAAGAGGTTGACAATGAATAAATGATGTGCATTGTAAAATGTCTTGTCTGCTTATTTATATACTCTATTTATGGCACTGCAAATAACAACATATTCTATAGAATGCAGTATATACTTGTCAAATCATGTCCTTTGATACATTGGTGTCCTTTGTTTCATTATGGTGTGTTCAGGTTAATTCATCAACACAAACGGCTTGTCCATTTACATGTATGAGGAAATGCTAGAATGGCATTGTTTTTAATATAAGGCTGTCTTCTGGTTGAGAATATGATAAACTGATATAATTCATGAAAATTTGGATCCTACTTGCACTATCAGGGGGATAATCTATAAGTTGTCAGCCATAAAGATTAACATCATTTGGCGAAGGTATGAACTCTAGTTCTATTTTTATTCTTGAGCAAGGGTTATTGACATATGTCATATTACTAGCAATAGGAGGTAGTGTAGGTTTTATTCCTGGTCATATGCATCCACCGTTTTGGGGGAAGGGGGGTTCTTTTAGCACCGCTTTTGAACAAAAAAATGATTTTTCACATTGAAGTAGCTCGTTTTGCTAAAGGTCTCGTAAAATTAACTTTCAAAAAGCACTTTATCTTCTCATCCTGCCGAGTCGGCTTCGAGTTAACAGATAATTGCTTCTATAGGTCTATTTTAATGTTCAAAGGTACTCTTACACTGTACGGCAAAGCACTAGAAATACAATTACATGATGGCGAATCGCCGGTTTTGATGCTAGGATACGTGCGTCATACAGTTTATTAGACGCGAGGCGTTTTGATATTTTCAGATGATCGCAAGGTGCCTTGAGGCTAAATCAGTAAAGTAGTTCATATTGAAAGCCTGCGTGTAATTGCTTATATCCCCTTTCACCTAGGGCAGTGAATATGAGTTTATTTGCTAATATAATGACTGCTACATGTGTGTCTGTCCATATGGAATATGGACAGACATACACACAAATGCAGATACAACCAAAGCAACAGATACAACCAAAGCAGTTTGCGGTCACGTGCATGTTATTTAATGGCAATGGATAACATTAAATTGATCCACACTGTGTTAATCACGTACACTAATTAACAGCAAAATATTGTAATAATCATCACCATTATCGTCGCGCTACTATCTGCCGACGATGCGGACCACCAGGGTTTTCTACTCTCTCTGGCTAGCGGTTGCCTGAACCGTCCCCAAAACCCTCTCCTCTGGATCCCCCGTAACTGGTTTTCCCATGCCATTTGTTGACCTCCTTCAATGCGCTGTTTTACATGGCAAATACATCATGCTTTCTCAGCCAGGTTAAGACTTTATTAAAACTGACGCTATCTTTTGATAGTTACAGCGGTAAGAAGATTGAAAAATACTTACATTTGTTGATGGATGGCATTGTTATATTTCAGTCCATACCATGGTATGGATGAAATATATTGTGTTCTCTCATGTTTCTTCTTCTCCTCCTCCTCCTGCCAAACAGTCAAAGGGATTCAACTCTGTCATTTGTCAGCCAAATGACCTGAAATTTGGCATGGAAGTAGAGTGGGCCAATACCCCCAGGCGTTTTTTTTTTTTCATTTTTTTGATACATGCCTTTGAAAATTTTTTATGAAGGTTTTTTGGGGCATTTTCGACAAAAAATGGACTTTTGGATCCTGATCCCTGGTATTACAACCAAATGATCTGAAATACGGTATAAGGGTACCTTGAACGTGTGTCTACAGAAAAGCAGTCACATATTTGGCATACACCACTTCCAAATGACTCATTTAGGGGACTTTAATGGCTATTTCAGGCCAAAAAGGGGCCAAAAGTGCCTGTACCCGTTCCACGTTCTATCTAAAGAATGCCCCGTTCTATCTGCCGTTGGCCATGGAACACGTGTTCCATTGCGGGTTACCTGAGGTCACATTGCACGTAAGTCGTGCGTAATGACCCACACATTCAATTTTATGTGCCTAAGACCTTCAAAATGTATCAAATCTCATCATTGTTAGTATTTGCATACCTGTAATAAGATTAGTAAAGCTTTCGAGATTCAAAGTGCTTGTTCTTGCATCTTTGTTCTCAATTACATAGCTACTATTTAATTCATTTATATGAGAACCTTTGCCAGTTTTGCACTGGGGTAAGTTTGGAATAGTCCACTTTTGCGTGGGAGGGAGATGGACTGAAATATGCTGTATTTGCTCCCAAGCAAATGTCGGCCTTTCTAGTTTTTGTTAGATATTCTGTATGATGTTTCTTGTGTTTTTTAATTCTTAGTTTTTATGTTTACCGAAGGAAACATATTATATTTGCTCTATTTCCTCCTCCTCTTCCTCCTCTTCTTCTCCAAACACCTAAAAATCGTAGATATTTTCGTAATTAGAACCTGGAAGAAAATGAAATTCAGCATGCTGGTAGGTTGGTACGTAAGACACTGAACCGCTGTCATTTTGGCCAACATAGATGTGAAAAAATGACTTTATTTGCAAAAAAATGGGTGAAAAAAGTTGCATTTTAAGCCAAAAATCGAACAAAAAGAACGCGTTTGGAACATGGAAGAATGGAACAGCGTGTTCGATAACCGCGGTCAATGACCCTAGCGCTACGCACGGAACACCCGAGCTTTCCAAATATGGGCATCCGCCCTTGTATGACACGAGTAGACATCGGTGGACCAATGTCAGCGGTAAGTTTTCATTTTTCTTCGTAAAATACGGTCATATGAATACCAGTCTCGAGTAGAGAATATTACATTGGGATTTTGGGTTCAATATCCACAAGTAGGACTGCAGATTTCCACAGAACGCGGGAGACTTTAACTTTTTGCATGGCTCAAATAAAAAAAAAACACTAGCAATTAACTAGCTCCTGACTTGATAGAATCTCGTATGTATAGAGATTTAGGCTTGTTGCCGTTTTGAAAATAAAGTAAACAGAATTGTGTTCATCCGTAACTATTGTCGACTTTGTAATGTAGATGCGGGGCCGGCCGGGGAGGGGGGCGTTTGTTTACGTCTATATAAACATGGATATAACATTACATTTTGTCGTTTTGTCAGACAGTTTCAATCTTTTTCGGGATAACACAGTACAGTTCATTAAGCATCAAATCGGGATTTATCGGGATATCCCGCGGGATTTTTCGGGAACCATGTTGACTAAGATTTTTACAGACAGACGATGCAGCGCATGTTTGTTTCCAAATTATGCATGATGATAACAGTAGCTCAAACGAATAGTGTTTTTAATCAAATATTTCTTTTTTATCGAAAATTTTAGTGGCTTAGTAATGTTTAGAACGATAACTAAATAATACAACCTTCTTGGTACGAGAATTTCTGTCTGACCTTGCGATGTGGATGGCCCGCTAAGTACTGCTTTTGATGTCACCCGACCCGCGCTATCTCAGATATAAAATCTAACACATCCACGTGCCATGTGGCATGTCGCCACTCGAGTTCATTTTTCTCCTAGATAGGGGAGGTCGACGCACGGAGCTGCGGAAGGGAGATTAAACATTCTACATAAGAGGGGGGCGAAGCATAATTCAAAAGTTCTTTACGCTTTGTTTACGACGATCAAGAATTGATACATTTCTGTGACTGGGCCACGTTGCCATAGAAACGGCACGCAGGATAGCTAGCACACCGCGCGGCACCAATCACAGCACACAGACGGGGACCCGCCCACTGGCTGGGCGGTAAGATTTCAAACTCAAAGGCTCGATGCTCCGCCCCGGAGACTCCGACCGCCTGGCGTGTGAGATCGAGAACTAGTAAGAATGCTTTTCTCCCCGGAAGAATGTTTGCCAGCCGCGTGGACGGTACTTACTTTCAGGGCCTAGGGTAATACGTACATGAATGGACGTGGTCGGATCGTTGTTGACGCAAGGGTTTATTTATGTGTACGTGTTTGGGGAGGGGTGAGACGCATGCCCCGGGATTTTTATTGGTTAATTTTCGTAATACAGAGACTTGACGCAGTCTGCTCATGAGAAGACCTCAACAAGTCCAAGATGCCACAATGAAACACAACTACTACTACAGCTGGTACGCCCTATTTTATTTGGTTAATAAACTTGCCGGAAAAATCACCGGAGACGAAGGGATTATTACATTGTTACAAATTCATTCCTGCTATTTTCTGACAGTTTTTCGCTGCACAATAGCTTTGTAAAACAAATCAAGGACCTTGAAAAAATGTAGCAGGTCAACTATAACCGCGTGAGGAACGCGCTATACACAATATTTCCGTACACTCCTGTGCTTCACCACCGGTGAATAAAAATTATAGCAAAGTTGACTGACGTCAGGGTGCTCCATCGGCCCTGCCAAGATCGCCAGACAGGACGTAAAAATAAACACTTGGCACGCCGCCATCGGTGATAGGACGCGGTAGACTTGGGGGTCTCGCACAAGTTTGTTTTTTTTCGCCCCGCGGTACGGGACGCCTATCCCGAAAAATTCCGCAGCCCGATGATGCATATCCCATGAAGTTATCTCTCTAAACAAAATAAGGATAATTGCCTATATGAGTTCGACAGAAGAAATATTGTTTGGGCTTCAATGTATATGAAGAAATATGTGAACGCCTGGTTTCACTAAATTTATTACGCGAGTCTTCATTATTTCATTTTCAATTTGTGCCCGTCGAATCTCGCGCTTGTGAATTGTTTTTCAGCGGTTATATCATACTTCCAAGACGTCTGAAGTAATGTTAAGTTTTTCATTTTCTCAACCTCAACCACATTTTCTCAACCTCAACTTCGCAGATATATATATATTCAGCATTCACAGTTTTCTTATGATGTTATGTACATGAATGTACATGTACAAAGAGATGTATGCTTGCGTTGTAATGCTTTCATTGTATACAGACAACAGTGTTTTCTGTATTAAAATTGGTCTGCTGTAAAATTTTGACATATATCATGTACCCCCTTTGACATACTAGTATATTATATACCCTCTTGGACCCCGTCTGATATAGTTACACATGCATTATGCTTTCCTTTTGTGGTTCAATGACTTAGACATTATCAGTTTCTGCTC